ATCGACCTCTGTAGGTATATTCCGATGTCTTATGCGGTTAGGTAACGGCACTCACTGATCAAATTGGAGCTGGCGATGACAAGATGTCATGAGATCTGAACCCTGAGCTGAATGGCAATTGCTGTGATCGTTGTGATTGGTTGGTTTGTCTCACGTTCTTGTTGGCAGGGCAACTTATCCGTCTGGTGGTCCCGCGGTTCTGGGTCGGTCTGCCGTTGAACAGCGGAATTGTCTCGGATAATAACCTGCCCCAAGGCTGAAATACGTACCATGCAAATTAACATACCAATTCGATTGATATTTACTCATATTGCAAATAATATGAACCTGCGAGCGTCTTTTACAGCCCTTCTTTCAGCTTCATTTACAAGAATGCCTCAATCTCGAAAAAAGGGGAAGGTACCTTGTCACCGTTGCATCGCGGCCCCGGTACCAGGGACCAAAAAGTGGGCCGGGCTTCCGCTGGACCCAGGCGCACGGACTTGGCCTCGCCTGTGGATCGATTTTTGCTCGCACCGTCTTGAGCGCTAGCGCGGTCAGCCAAATGTCGTCAACTTGCTTGGAGCTCTGAGACGTTTCTCGTCAGCCACATCGCACATTTGCAAGCACAGCACATTGCGCGACGACATCATGGCCAACGTGCTCAACAACCTCTTTGGGGGCGGCAAGGCCACTCCCGACCCCGTCGTCGGCGGAGACTCTGGTATGTTTTATTTTGAGCATCAAAATATCTCTTGCTCTGAAACAATGGGCAAGACCTGGGGAAAGCTTCCGAAATCCACTCTTGCCCCTTTCCCATGCTCGAAGCAGCCACGTTGAACACCCGTCGGCCTCAAGCCATTGGGCAGCGCACACAATCAAAGCAATTGGCCTCGAGCAGCCTGCCTTTATTGGAAATATTCTAATTCGTCTGCTCAACTAGACTTTGGCGACTTTGTCGAGGGTGCGGAGCCGGCTCCTGCGCCCATCACGCCCATCACCCACACCCTCGGTGGGATCCCGCCCGCGCAGACCGGTCGCCCCTACACGAAATGGTACAATGTGCATGAGCGGTATACCTGGTCCGACTTCCAAGTCGAAGGCGCCATCCTGCTGGCCTTTGGCGTCGTCCTGCTCGTCCACCTCATCGGTGCGCGCCTGAACCGCAACAAGGCCAAGAAGTGGACCCGCGCCCACGCCGCGCCCCTGGCCTCCGAGTTCGCCCTCGTTGGATTCTCCGGTGTGCTGAGCAGCACGGCCGGCAAGTCGGGCGATGAGCTGGTCAAGGCCCTGAACGAGAATAACGTGGAAAAGGGCGATAACATCACCAAGGAGAAGTCGCTCTTCGAGTACGCCACCTACGCGACCGGCCGCGCAAACGTCGCCTTCCTCGATGTCAAGCTCACCCTCAGGAAGCGCTTCAACCCCCTGACCGCCCTGTTCGAGACCGTATTTGCATTCTTCTTTGAGAGCTTCGGCGACTCGGCTGATACCGTAGAGGCGATCCTGTACCCCTTCGATGGCAAGGAGGCGCAGATCGTCCCCGGCCCTCCCGGTGCCGCCGAGCTGCGCGCCAAGGACAGCAAGAGCAGCTACGATGGGTTCGTGTGGGCTATTGTCCACAAGGAGCGCATGAAGCAGGTCCGCGATGATCGCTACGATGTCTCTCTGACTTACACCAAGGACCACCCCAAGCTCCCCAGCTGGCTGACGGTCATGAGCGAGAGCGCCGAGATTACCGATCTGCTGCTTACCCCCGAGCTGATCAACGCTGCCACCGCCGCGGGAGATGATTTCGAGTACCTGATTGTCTCTGACCAGCCCCTCGAGAAGCCCACCACGTAAGTTTCCATCTTTCATCCCAACAATGCACCCATTAACATTTCTTCCCCCCAAAAAGCATCGAAGAAACAACCCCCCGCAAGCGCATCTTCCTAAAGTACCGCCTGCCCTCGTCGGACGATTACTCCAACCTCCTCCCCGTATTCACCTACTTTTTGCGCATAACCGACCAGCTCGTCGCCAGCGCCAAGTTCAGACCCGAGGTCCTGCGCAAGGTGAGATCGGTCCGTGACGACGCCATCCGCCATATCCAAAAGGCCGAGGAAGACGAAAAGGCCGAGGAGCGCAAAATCGCGCAGGAAAAGGCCAAGAAGGCCAAGCGCGACGCCGAGCTCAAGGCTCTTGATGCAAAGGCCCAGAAGAAGTACCTCGAGAAGGAGAGGGAGAAGGAGGTGCGGAAGATGACGAAGCGGTCTACTACTAGGGCGTAGATGGAGTATATTGGGTTGGGGGCTGGGTGGACAAGAAGATTTATGCAGTGGATGGGGGTTGAGCTGGGATCTTTGGTTCAGTTGGGTAAGAATAATCGTATGGTCTGGGGGCTTTTGGAATGGTGCTTTGTACAGTCTCGCAACAATGGGCAGCCAGTTAATTCTGATCGGATGTAGAGGACTGTCGGGGGCCAAGAAACCCATACAAGAAAAGACATGGGTCGGGTTGATACAGCCATGGCATTGGCAAGATGACGTTGCCAGTCTGGTGAGGATCGTAGCGTGTACAAAATAAGCACTCAATGTAATGTCTTCTATTTCTGCTTAGCGCCTAATATACAGGCACCCGTCTTCTTATATACAGGCACTACTCTTTTGGAATAAATGCCTTGACTAGCTTGAATATATGCCCTAGCTAGCTGGAACAAATACCTTGACTTGGTGGAATAAATGTCCTGGCTGGCTCGAATGGGTGCCATGATAAACTGGAATAAATATCTTAACTTGCTAGAATAGAGGCCTTGACTAGCTGGATTATATGCTCCTAACTGGGTGTAATAAATGCCTTAGCTAACTGGAATAAATGCCTTAACTACCTGGAATAAATGCCCTGACTGGGTCGAATAAGTGCCTTGACTGGATTGGAATACATGCTTTGACTGGGCTAGTCGATGCCTTTATCTGCTGAAAGAGATGGCTTGACTGGGTAGAATAAATGCCCTGACTGGCTGGAATAAATACCTTCACTAGCTCGAATAAATGCCTCTGGGCTGGAAAGTCAAATTGCACTGGTGCCTGTTACGTGGGTGGGTGAAAAATGAACATGACGCTGTATTAGTATTCCTGTCTGTCTATCTTACTGAGACCTGCTCCTCCCCGAACCTCGCTGCCGACCAACTTGTGTTTGTCCAACACTCATCACTCGGTTTCCTCCTCTTTAATATCCATATCCTCAGTATCCTCAGCATTGCAGAAGGAAAAGGTTCCTACACTAGTCTTGATGTTGACACTGATTGTGCCGTCTTTGCCCTCGTCGGCGACGGCCTTTCCCTTGTCGGTCGTAGGTGTTGTGGTCGCCGGGCCGGGCAGACTTGGGGTAGGAGGAAGGGCCGGAGGACGAAATTTTCTTTCTGCCTCCTCCCACGTCATCTGGTGGTGATTCGGATGACACTAACCCGTACTTTGTCAGCAACTGACAAAGTGACAACAAGCCTGATGAGAGTTGGAAACAAAATTGGTCGCCACTTGGCCGCCAGCTGCAAAGGGTCAGTACGGAGTACTACTTACAGCAACTCTCCTCGTTCGGCAGTCGTCACATGCCCCGATTTTCCTCATTAAGGCGGTTCTCCTCCGCTGCTCCTCAGTCAAGGGGCCTGATCTCTTACGCCGAAAAGAGAGTTTCTAAGGTGACTTCTCGGCGCGCAGAAGGCTCTCGACCCTGCTGACCTTTTCGGCGGCAGTCTGTGTCTTGTCGGTTCGAGTGCCAATCCTCATGGAAGTGTGTATCCTAGGGACTCCTTTGTTGAGGATCAATGTATGGGCTTGACCGATAACTCTCATGACTTGGTCCCAGCTCCCTTCTATTGTTCGGGTATCATGCGGGTTAGCAAGCGAATCGGATTTCGGCATGATAGGTATGTTTGGTGTTTGGAGCTAGTTGTCCTGTAGAATGACGAAATCCGGAGGACTCACCAACTGTTGTCCCGGCAGCGTGCATTTTGTAGGTCAGACCGCTGTTCCGGAGCAGTTCCTGGACGTCGGCCACCTCTTGAGCCACTGAGACATTGCCGGTGCCGATTGGGATGAGGCAAAAATCAACATAGCAAGCCTCCGGCGTCTTCAGATTCTGGTAGTCGGGTGACTCGGGTATTTTCGATGATGACATGATGAGTCGAGCTTGGGGGGATGATGGATGACTTGTGTTATTATGGATGATTTGAGAAATGTTGGTTGTTTGATGATTTGAGAAATGTTGTGGGATGACTGGAGAGTGTTGTTCAGGGGAAGAATCAGAATGGTCAAAGGCGGACTCTTTTAAGTGTGACGCCTCCAAAAATTTAGGCACGCCGCTGTATTGCAACTTCCTAACAGGAACAGGGAACTGCCTCGAAAGTCAAGGTGTTGACATCATTCAGTTGACAGGGTATTGTAAATTTGCAAGTGACGGTCGTCTCGTCCCATCCTAAGTGAAAATGATCAATCTGTGCCTTCCCAATTACATAGAGGAAAGTGCCCCGTAAGCTAGTTCCTTCCCTGCGCAGCTACTTCCTAGAGACAGAAGTACATACATCACAACACACACGCTGAATACCTTCTTTGAGGGGCTGAATGAACAGGCACTCCTACTTTCTTGTCTTGATCAGGGCATCTACTCCAGCTATTCAGGGCATTTGTTCCAGTCTATCAGGGCATCTATTCTAGTCAATTAAGGCATCTATTCGAGCCAGTTAAGGCATCTATTCGAGCCAGTCAAGGCATTTACCAGTCCAGTCAAAGCATGTATTCGAGTCCAATTAAGGCATTTCTTCGAGCTAGTTAAGGTATTTATTCCGGTCTATTCCAGCCAGCTAAGGCATTTATTATACCCAGTTAGGAGCATATAATCCAGCAAGTCGAGGCATCTATTCCAATCCAGTCAAGACATCTATTCTTGGACCGATATCGTTCTGCGGTTTCCCCGCCTCTTTCCACCACCGACTCCGCAATCATAAAATACGTCAGGGTGCCACATCACACATCCAATCAACAGGCTGGGTGGCCGAGCGGTCTAAGGCGGTAGACTCAAGAAGATCTTCTCTTCTTCCTCAAAGCAATGCGAGGAGATTTCTACTCTCGAAAGAGGCGCGCGTTCGAATCGCGCCCCAGTCATTCTTTTGTTTTTTTTGTTAACTTCTTGCAAAGATTCTATTTTACGTTTGTTCCCAGCAGACCTCCTCCTCTTCATCGCCTTTAATCACTTTCTTTCTATCCAGTTTTTTCTGTATCGCCCACAACAAGTAGTGAACAAGCGTTCACTCATGTTTATTATTACGTCTATTCATGATCATTCTGTCACAGCCAGTCTTTCTCTTTGACAAGATCAGCCCCTTTTCTCAAAATACCCAACTAACAACACACCGTCGAATTGGGCCATCTAGATGATGAATGCGCTAAAGTTCACACACGTCGAAAGACCAAACAACAAGGCATCATTTTACCATGCCTCTGAACGAATTTATTTTTATTTTTCTAATGGTATCTAGGTAAAGAAACAAACATACTATCTACTAACCTCCGCATTTATTTCTCTACATGTACCTACTTATCCTTTTTTTACATATCCATCTATCGATCCACCCCCCCAAAACTCAACAACCCTATTCAGTATTTCACCGATAACCATCCACCTCAAAACCAACACCAAATTTTATTTTTTCTAACAACGGGATCTCTTGGTTCTGTTCTGGGCATCGATGAAGCAACGCAACGCACTGGCGAATATGACATGCGCATAAGCATGTAAGATGAATTGCAGAATTCAGTGAAACCAGTCAACATACCAAATTTTGAAAAGAGGCGCTGCGCTGATTTGTTCCCCAACCTTTTTGTTCCTAGGGAAAGATGATAAGCCTCAGAAAGGGTTGGTGAATGATGGAAAATCCGAGATATCAATAATATCCACCGGCGGCGGCGGCACCCCCCCTCCTGTCCATTCGCGTCGTCCCGTTGTTTTTGTTTCCGTCCCATCGACTTAGACTCCCCGGCCTCGAGCTACACGGACTGATGGTGCTTGAACTTCTACGAGGAAGAGGTAGCCAGGGGGGTGGTGCACCCGCCGCCGTCGTCGTCTCAGGGTGAGAGTCCTCGTCGCTCGCGTCGTAGTTTCCCAGCCCCCCAGTGGCAGCCGCTACTCTTTTTTCCCAGCCGGATTTATGGACATAGACGCGTCGGGGAGGTGGCTTCTTGGTGGGAGTAGGAGGGGGGAAGGAATAATCGGCTAGTTTTGCTTGGTATTTCTTGCCCTCGGGCGTGGCCAAGTGCCGGTTGATTTGCTTCTCGCGTTCTTTTTGGCGTTGGCGGAGGGATTTATTTTGTTTTTTACCTTTGCTGCTGTTGTGAGGGGAAGAAGGGTTCTCGTTGGTGCTGGAGTTGGTTCGATAAAGTCGGAGAGAGGTTCCTAGGTTTAGCCCCGGACGTCGTTTCTCTTTCTTGGGGACTGGGGTTCTTGGTCGTCTTGGTGGCGGTGATGGCGAGATTTCGAATATGGCTGGTGGTGATGGTGTTGTTTTGGATCTGGTCGGTGGTGGTGGTGGTGTTGTCAGACTCTCTCGGCGGGACTGGAGTTCCTGCGGGGGGGTGAGGGCAGGTTGGTAAGGGACGTTGGTGTCTCTTTTGTTGATGTATCTGAATGGCGAGACACTGGCATCTGGGAAGGACGGGGGCGGTGTTGTTGGTTCTCGGAGCCTCTGCTTCATGGCCTGGTAAGCTGCACTGTGGTAAGGGTCGTTGCTGCTCCAGCTACGACCAAAGGACGGCGGCGCTGACTTGCTGCAGCCTGTGTATAGGCTTAGTTTGCTACGGGGTCTCTTTTTCCCATCTTCGCTTTCTGAGGCTGTCGCATCACCAGTGGTGTAGTCAAGAGATGCCGTGTTGTTGCTAAGGCGCCATGCCAACTCCCGAGTCGAGAACTCATGGCTCGCCGGCCTTGGGGGGCTTGGCTGTCGTTGAAGGCGCGGCAGGAGTCCCGACAACTGATGGCGAAGTTTGCGAGAAGGGGCTGACTGGACGGTTGGCAGCCTTTCGCGTCCCTCGCCATCACTGCTTTTGTTTCCACTCCTGCCAGATTTCCTGTTGCGTAAGCGCTGCCAACATTCTTTTAATTCTTTTATCTTAACCATATTTGTTTCATATGACAAAGAAGCTGATGGTATGCTGGCAGGATTCGATAGGTGTGTGAAAGCTGGAGTTATATGAGGATGGAGGCGCATGAAAGAGTTAGGAGGCGCAGAGGAATGAAATATAAAAGGGACAACACCAGAGAGACCCTGATTCACAAGGTTTGGGACAGTTAACGGGCTGACGAGGGCTTCATGGGAGAGCTAACAGGACCCTAGCCAGGACACGCCGACTGACTTTCTCCAACCGCTCCGACATCATTCTCCCCATTTACAGAACAAGTCAGTCAGGCAACGGAGATGGAAGCCCCCTAAACTGACTCTCGGTTGACCCCATGAGGCAGCGTGGACTCCCCGAAGTGAAAGCCGGTAGGAGCTCCTCAACTCGTGCATGGGGGAAACGCGGGACTAACACGGTAGCGGCGCATGGCTTGAACTAGCCGTGGTTTTTCGCTTGTCAGGGTCTCTTGTCAGACCTTATTTCGCAGCAGGCGCGCATTCCACTTGACTTTCGGTTTTCACCAGACGGAACCAGCCGTCGTCGGTCAAACCGTGGTTCTAGTAACTTTAGGCTCCTTCAAGGGCTGACGATTACGGTGAAGACGTCTATCACACAAATACCAATGGCTTCTCTCCCGCCTCGGGAAGCTCCCGAGACATGTTGTTTCATCAAAGGGCCCACATTCTGGACCCTCGAAGACGTTACCGGCAGCTTGGTCAAAGAGAACGGGATCTCGATGAATGAACAACTGGGCAAGCCTAGGTCCCTTTGCGAAATCACGTCACCAATAGTGCTTACCATCTATCATGTAGGGCAGCAACCCCATTCCAGCATCTCGATCAACCGGGAGACCCTCCGGCTCGGCAAAGAGACATTGGGCCAGCAGCCGAGGACTTCATGTTATGGCAGAGAGTCTAGATGCGACTTTCCTCTCTCATCACATCTCTGCCGCTGGGCCCTGGCTATGCTTCCATGTTCTTTCTATATTCAACTCATCAAAGAGAACTTTTACACAAGGAACTGGATCAAAGAACGCTGTGTCAAAATATTTAGCAAACGCAAAAAAACATGTCGAGGGACCATGAACTTGTTCACTCCACGGATCTTTGGTACTCTAAACACATATGGGTGACTTGCCTATGATACATGTTGTCCATCCTAATCCACACTTTGAGATCCAGTTCACAAGGCGCAAGAGTTAAGAACATTTACATATGGGAAAGATCTCGATCAGAAAGACCAGTCAGATTCTACAATGTGGTGAGAAATTAGGTCTTTGCAGATCTTGAGACTGGAGGTATATACTTGCCTATTAGCAAGACTATTGCTTCGATGGTGATTCATCTTTACTCTGGTTCCACTTCCTCTTGACTCTGGTCAGCTGTGAGCTTTTAAAACAGGCCTCTTCGACTTGGAAAAAAAGCACCATGCCACCGCGAGATTCCAAGATGAATGATGAGTACATAACCACCAAGCTTAATACATGCCACGAGCAGGGCCTTGTGCCGCTACAAATATTTGGGGGTACTTGGATCTCTTTTTTAAGGATCTTGAGAAATGCGCCGGTCAATTACTTGACTTATTTCTTTGCATATACAAGTCAACCAAGATGAAGCGATCATCATCAAGCACGATGCAGGTCAGTCTGATTGCTGCTTATCTTATCAGATCATCTCTGATCTACCGACCCCACTTTCAACCACTGCGCTAACCCCAGAACAGTAGGTAAGCCGCTAAGCCTGGCATCCAGACCCCTGAGCCCTGCAAATGCGGGTGTGCGTTACGGTGTCTCGGTCAATCAATCCATCCCCTGCCTTTGCGATCGTCACACGAAAACGGCTTGGCTGGCATTTTCGCATCTTCAACGCCAAACACTCTCGACGCGACAAACAAACCCTCCCCCCCGCCTGAACCCTCCTCCTCCTTTTTGCGCAAAGATGTACCACCTAGCAAAAGGCCTCTACCGCCTCGCAACCTCAAAAGAAGAATACTCCGTAATCCTCCTCGGCCTAGACAACGCAGGCAAAACAACCTTCCACGAGCAAGTCAAGGCCCTCTTCCACCCAGACCACCCATCCCCGCGCCTAAAAACAGTCCCCACGGTCGGCCAAAACGTCTCGACCATAACCCTCCCCGACATGTACCTCAAGCTCTGGGACGTAGGCGGCCAGCTCTCCCTCCGCGCGCTCTGGCAGTCCTACTACGCCTCGTGCCACGCCATCGTCTTCATAATCGACAGCACAGACATAGGCGACGGCACGCTCGAGCATGATTCCTCGGGGAGGCTGGACGAGTGCAGGTTGGTGTTGGAGGATGTGCTGCAGCATAGCGAGACGGAGGGGGTTCCGCTGCTTATACTGGCGAACAAACAGGATCGGGAGGATTGTGTCGAGGTTGTAAGGATCAAGGAGGGGTTGGTGAAGAGGGTTTTTGAGGGCGAGAAGGCGAGTAGTATAAGGGACTCGAGGGTGTTGCCTGTTAGTGCGTTGACGGGAACGGGGGTGAGTGAGGCGGTTGATTGGCTTAGGAGTAGGATGAAGTGGAATCGGGAGAGTCGGCCGCCTGTTATGCGGTGATTTTTTTTAAGAGCCTACGTGATTTACGGTAGTTGGGAAATCGTGGTGGCAAGCTGGTTCAAGGGACGACACCGGGGGTTTCGATATGGTTATGGCAACCTGCGATATCGTTGCTTGATAGCCTCCGGGCTGGGAAGACATTGGATTACGTGTGTGTGCTGGACCCCCGATTCGGAACCGAGGCGATTAGTCGAACCAACGATGAGGAGCAGGATCCAATTCTTTGCGAATATGCACAATTACAGGAACTATTCTCATACGATACCGCACTTCCCGGCCGATTTAGGACGGCATGGTCGTTCTGCGATTCACAAGCTCAGGTCGAGGGGACGGGCCAATGAGAGGTACCGGGGATTCTGGGACATGGGCAAGTCTGCTGGTTCGAATACTTGCATTCTTGGGTTATTTGCCTGTTAG